TCACATTTATGCACTCGACGAGTCTGGTCAAGGTTTGACCGTTGACTTTTGTTGACTTTTAGGGTTTGGTCAACAATTGTACTTGCGGACTGTTGATGGGTAAAATGGTCTTTTAGCCTTCTTAGAGGACATGTGAGAGCCTAGTCTAGCCTGGAGTTTCGTTATTGATTGAGATGATTGTTTATGTGTTTAGAAAAAGGCTACATTAGTGTATACACGAGCGGGATATTACCCAAGACATCCGAGGTGAGTCTTCTCACTGTACTTTACCTTTAGTGGTAATTAGAGTTATGTGACAGAGTTATTGTATGCTATTTATGTGATGTGTTGCACTGCATTATTTCTATGTGATTTATGTCGTATATATATCAGAGTTAGATCTGGAAGGTTCACAGAGTTAGGACCAGAAGGTCCACAGAGTTAGGGCCCAAGGGCCAATAGAGTTATAGCCTCGAGTGGCTAGTATGTGTTATGTGTGGTATTTTGGGGAACTGACTAAGCTTCGTCCTTACAGTGTTTTGTGTTATGTGTTTCAGGTACTAGTGAGGATCGCGGGAAGGCGTCGACATGATCAGTACACACACATGCGGAGTTTTATTTATATGCTATGATCTTGGGATTTTGACTTATGTTTGAATATATGAATCAATGGGTTTTATAATATTGTGAAATAAAGTGTTTTTAAAATGTGAAAGTTTGTTTAAAATTTTACGACATTACATATCTAGGATGCCCTAGGCTCACCACATGGTCTTTACCAGGAATGCCATGGGCATTCCCCCATGGTATGATATCCAAATGTTACAGGCTCCCCTGGGGGTCATCCATTCAAGTATCACAGAGACAACTAACATACCACATCACACGTAATGGGCCGACATTGCTGTCTTTGACCTATGGATATAGTGAGAATACTCACCTCGAGTGCCAAAGCTTATCGAAAGAAATCCCTAGTTCCTTCCCTGACGACACCTCTGAGCTATTAGATCAAAATAACACCCAATTAGCTTATGGGTTCCATTCTAAGGCCCACCATCCACACTTTGGGCAAAATGACCATTTTACCCATGATCTAACATGCATCAAAACTACAGCTAAAATCCAAAATATCCACAATGTCCACTAATGCATACAAGCCTTATCCTAAGCCCATAACTCCCTCAGTTACAATTCTGATTACCTTAAGTACCCCTTAGAATAACTTGGGCAAAGACATGGTCAAAAGTCAAGGTCAACGGTCCGAGTTGACCCAACTCGTCGAGATGTCATTCAAATCGTCGAGTTTCTCCATTAACTAAACAGACCAGGAAAACTCTCATTAACTCACCGAGTTCACTAATGAACTCACCGAGTTAGCTAGAAATCCAACAGCTTAATGCATTAAGCTATTTGCCTCGAATGTAGGAATTCCAAATCACAGATCTCCTCTAAAAAGATGTCTAGAAGGGTAAAGTTTCCAACTTTACCCTTAGGAACCATCCAAAATGAGTCAGACCCAAACCTATACTCATTAGAGTGAGGATTAACCCATTAAGCCCTTAAACTCTCAAAACATAGACCCAAAATACAGATCTGACACCAAAAGGCTGGAAAATCACGTAAAGTTTCCAACTTTACGTCCATGCATGCTAAAAGAAACCATTGGGCTCAAAATGGGCTTAAAAGAAATTTATTTCATGAATGGGACCTAGAACTTAGTAAATCTTGCAACTTTAAGTCTAAAGGGGCCATAAAATGGTCAGATCTAACATAACAACTTGTGGAACACACAACTTCCTGGACAATCCACCCATGAGCCCAAAAATAAGATAAAACTCCAAACAAAGAGATCTAGATGATAACAAAAAAAGGTATAAACTTGATACCTCCAAAAGACTGTAACAATTGGGGAGATTCTGGATCTAAATCTTCACTCCAAGCTTTATACCTCCAAGTTCAAAGCTTCTTCAAAAGAGAATAAAAGATCAACACTCAAGACCTTTTACAAGCTCTCACACTCACAAAATAAGATAATGCACGCTATTAGCGTTTTTTTCTGGATAGAGGAGGCTGGTAAGGAGGACAACTAAGGGATTTAAGGCCTTTAAATAGGGTGCAACACCCTAAAAATTAGGGTTTTCTCCCCAGTTGCCAACTCGCCGAGTTGAAGCACCTCAACTTGTCGAGTTGGTTCATTAACCTTCACAGACAACGCCCTCTCGACACGACGAGTTAAAGGTTCCAACTCACCGAGCCCCAAAGGAAAATACAACCAATTTGAAGAACAAGTTCATACCTAAAACAAGCGTTAATAATCTCCCCCACTTGAACTAGACTTTGTCCTCGAAGTCTGTACTTAGTTTTCTCAACACACTAAACAATGTGAGCAGCACTACCACATCCCGAGAATACTACTGACTTCCCAAGGAAACTGAAACCAAACCTAGAAGAACTACCTAAGCCTGAAGAAGAACAAACCTTAAACCCTTGTAGAAAACCCACCTCTACCTTCCGTGAAACTCGAAATCTCAAATACATCTGACTTCCTGACAAACCACCCACTCTGAACCACTATCAAACCGATAATGTATGAAGCCTATAGTAACCAAATACTTCCAACCCAGATTATCATGATGCTTGTAGGAACAAAATCACTGATCATATACAGCTACAGAACACTTATACTTGAAAGGAGGCTCAGATAATACTTTGAGTAGAAGATTTATCCCTACAACAGTTAAACTCAGACGAGATCTGTTCAACAGGGTCAAATCAACCATTCTGAGATTATTTAATCCACTACAAGTGAATTAGCATTTCCCGGACAACAACAGAATTGATACAACCGAGAGAACTGCAACAGATAACATACTTGTTGAATCAATTATTGGAGCACGGGCCTACCTTAGCTGATATTGTAATGACCAACGCCTCTCTACTGGGTTCTTTCCTTATCCTCACAACTACGAGAGATCCGCAAAATAGATGGAGCAGGTGTACTCATTGATTCCTCCTTCTTATTGAACAAATGGCCCCCTTATGGCCTACCGGTTGTAGAAAAACATAATAGACTCCCCCCTACAACAATTCCTGCTGTTATGATAAATCCAAGTACACTTGTAGCAGCCCAAATCCCTGGAACAACAACTTCATTGTCCAGTTTCGCATGCACGCTGCATTGACCACTACTAGAAAAAAAGCCTTTTACGACGCTCATTGCGTGTCGTAAAAGGCTCAGACAACGCGCAAATGCGCGTCATGGAAGGCCCTGTCATAAAGAGAGACGACGCGCATTTATGATGCTCATTTACGACGCGCAATTACGACGCGCGTTTACGACATACAATGCGTATCAAGAAAGGCCCTGTCATAAAGGAAGACGACACTCATTCGCGTGTCGTAACCTTACGATGTGCGTGTTAATGACACGCAATGCGTATCAAGAAAGCCCCTGTCAAGAAAGTCCATGTCATAAATGAAGATGACACACATTTTTGCGTATCATAATTTTAAATGTTTAAAAAAACATTATTTATAGATATACTAATTTTTAAATTAAATTTGCATTTAATGTCTCATAATCACAAAAGAGCATGAAAGAACATTATTACACGATGGGGAGAGAAGAAGAATTGTAAAACACAAAACCAAAATTTTATTATAGACTTCAAGGAAGATCAGTTACAAAGTCACATAAGACATACAAATACAATTCAAACCATTGGGACTTTTATTCCTAACATTACAACTCTTCAATGGCCACAGTTCAATCATTGAGTTCCTAAAACCTTAACTTCTATAACAGTTGCTTATATTTAATCGCTAACTTATTAAATCGTGATATAATTTCCAGAATTCTAACATAATTACCAAAATACCCTTAAGTCTAGATTATATTCCAACAGTAATAACAAATGGAATTGTATTGGAAGCTCCATCTCACCAGCATTGCGAAGAGCTTATTGGTTCATCGGAGATGTCTTCTAAACCCTACAATAGATTCATATAAACTACAAACTTGTTGAAAAAGTAACACATATGTTGTTTAACTAGAATGAAATTGGTATTTGACAAAGACCAACAAAATTAAAGAGAAAGAAGCCCACACCTACCTGCTACTATATGTACTAGAGGCTATGAAGTTTACCATGGATTATTAACAACTATTATTCAATAACGAGTTTATAAGGACTTTCAAGATTTTATGACTCTTTTCAGCATCTGTAAAAAGTTTCTCAATTATAATAGCAGTACTTCTGTTGAATATGTAATCAGTGATATTTGCAGTTGTAACTATACCTTGTTCACCAAGGAAAAACAGAAGAACTAGGGGAGAAGAAAAGAGGGATTAGAACAGTAGAAACAAGAAAAAACAGAGGAACAATATTGGTTGGTGCTATAGATAACTTAACTGAATAAAACTTGGTTCTTAACACATTAAAAGGACAACGGTTACATCTATATATGTTAAATAAGATAGCATCCAAGTATAACTTGAGGGGCAGACACAAGAATTTTCAACAATAGTGGCACCAAAGCCTGTAACAACAAAAAAGATAACATCAAGGCTTATCTAAATATCCATATTTGGGTTAAGGCTTCTCTAAATATCCAAAGCTTGTAACAACAAAAAAGATAAGATCAAGGCTAAGGGAAAATAAGTAATTTTAGCAAAATAAGATGTAATACTACTTCCAACCTATAGCAAGCTATGGTATGATAATCCTGGGATAGTTGTTGTAGTACGGTAGTACCTTGCGGTACGAATAAACCTAACAAACACCAGATGAAATATGTATATTTTAGCATTATATGTATATTTTAATAGTATACGGGTTTGTTAACCGTGTGATTCTAGCATACCTTTAAATTATATGAAAAGTTTGTAACTTCTTTCTTGAAGCATGGTGGTGCATGGTTCTAATAAGGTGGACACACGTATTATAAACATTTTTAATTATAAAATTATGATAAAATGTTGAAACTATTAATTTTATATAAATTGTAACGTAGGAGACTTACATCGTTTGAAATAAGTGTAATTATTACCTGGGAATATCTAATTTTGGTTTCCATCCTCCAAAAAAAGACCCTTTTGTGTTTATCCAGTAATAAATAATCCATAATGACATGCTACATTTGGGTTTGTCTTAGGAACCCCAAGAGTAACTCTCACACCCCACCCCTAATAATCAATGACAAAAATAATTCTTTTTTTTTTACCTTTTAAAGATTAATAGATTAAGAAAGGAGTTAGTTAGGTTACATCACAGCAAGAATGCAAAGTTGTATTTATCATCTCAGTGCTTCTAATACATTCAAATGAATATTCTACACCACCATCTGTAAGTCGCCTGATAGCCTGAAATCATAAATATAAGAAATCAACTATATTATCGTTATTAATCTTATTATTGGAGTATTTATTAACATAAACATAGTACTAGTGTACCTGTTGAACTGTCTCATCATATCATTTGGGTTGATGAAATCTATTACTCCAAAAGCTTTTGCTGCACAAATAACAAAAATCATTATTAATGAACAATTTTTATACTAATCACATCAAGAAAGACTTGTTAGATTTACCACTTGTTATGAAAATAAATCGTGTGTTATTACCTTTCTCTTTCTTTTCAGGATTAAGTGTCCACCCCAATTATCCTAGATGTGCCCCTTATTTTAGCACCTTGTGCAACCTAATCAATTGATATTTCAATTAGCCAATAAAAATGATATAAAAATAGGTTTAGATACTTACAGATAACTCTACAGTTCCCAAACCAAAAATCGCAACTGTTGATCCTTAAGAAACATCAGAAACACTCCAAGTTGCACCCAAACCTATAGAAACAATTCTATTTACAACATTTCTTTTCAAAATATTCGTATTTATGAAAAATGAAAAATTGGTCCCTGTGGTTTGCCTTTTTCTTTGGTTTTTGTCCCTCAAGTTTCAAATTTTCAAAATTGGTGTACTTTTGTTGCGGTTTTTGATCCTGTTCCAACTTGAAAAGACTATTTTTCCCTTACGTAATTTCTTTTGGATTTTCTTTTCAAATGACTAAAAAGAGGGGTCCCTTATTTAAATTTATCTAGAAAAGAGATCAGAAGAGCAAAATAGTCTTTTTCAAGTTGAGGAGGGACCAAAATCAAAACAAAAGTATGCCAAAAGGACCAAATTTGCAATTTTATATATATATATATATATATATATATATATATATATATATATATATATATATATATATATATATATATATATATATATGTCACAAGGTAAAAATAGTCTTTTTCATTTTGAGAAGGGACAAAAACCACAAAAAAGGACCAAATTTGCAACTTTGAAACTTGAGGGATCAATTATGCAAATTTATGTTTTACAAAGCTTGTTTACCTACTGCTGTTCCACAACTAAGGAGGCAAACTTTTTCTAGAGGGGCAGTTTTGGTCATTTTTACAACACATCCATAATTAACAACTGTATATTCACTAAAACTAGAAACAACACAATAGTGATAAGTGGGCTTCCCCTTGACAAAAAACCGAGTTTTTTGATCACTGTAACATCTATTGTACCAGTCAACCTCACATGCTAGACTTTCCCGGTTAGATATGTCATGTTCTCCCAAATATTTGATTTTTGTTTATCAAATATTACATCTCATACAAAAACAAAAACAAAAAATATGAATGAATTTGGTTTACTACGTACAGGGTACAAGGTGTTTGAGGTGTTTGAATTCTCCTACAAGAACAACTACCATAAAGCGTTCCACTTCAATTTCCTTGAGATTCATGCAATCCCTTAAAATCATCACCTCCAAATTATCTACACCACCATTCACACTAGGGTTCCTATCATTCCAAAATTTCAATCCACAACTCAAATAACAGAATTTTGTTTGATGATTGCTTACTTTAAAAAGGAACTCGTGAATGAGTAAGATGTTGAAAGGTCAATATGTTTCAATTTCTGTAGCCCCTGAAATATTAACAACATACTTCAATACTTGTTACTTGTTGTTAAGTGGGAAATAGGAAAAGCACTATGTGTACCTTCACCAGCATACGGGTCTTGTAGTCATGATGTTTGAATCCTTTTAGTCTAAAATATTAATACTGCTAGTAACCTATCAGCTCATTTTCAATGCCACAGCAGGAGAGTTAAAAAATTAGCTGTAAGATATATTTTGTTTTCCCCTAACAAATTTACTCATATCAACTCCTATCATCATGGATTTTCTGTTTCAAGTAGCACCTAGTAATCCAAATGTTATCTGGAGTGCCAGCGAGGATGCCACTCTGAGACAGCATGATCTTCGAGAGGTCACTTTTTGTCCCTATGCTGAATCTTCTCACCAAGAATGTCCTAACATATTAGTAAGCATGAGACAATCTGGTTTCCATATTTATAACAAAAAGGTTACAAGAGACCTAAGAAGTCACATGTTTAGTTTTTGATGCCAGGTTGACTTGCGAAATGAAGCAAAGAAGTCATTAGGTAGTCCACCTAAGCAGTCACTTATGCTGAATCTTCTCCAAGGTCCTTCATTTCTGCAACATCTCTATTTCACCACGAATTTCTTAATAATAATAATAATAATAATAATAATAATAATAATAATAATAATAATAATAAATTACATCGCATGTGTCTACAAGAGCTAGAAAATTGTCAGGAAAGGCTAAAGCATATAAAATAAAAGCAACTAATTCACTCTTATTAGTTTCACCAAAAACACCCATCAATATACTTAGCCTCTGAAACATATAAAAAAATAGAGTTATTAAAAATATGAAAATTTATTACCTTTATTTTGCTTAACCAGGTCTGAGAAGCACCAACAAAATCCTCACATACTTGAGATCCATCATGACTTTTTAGAGACTTATCTATAATCTCATCAGTTCTCTACATCAAAAAATAAAAAATGTAATAAGAACTTTTTAATTGAATAAAAAAATGGTTATTTATAATACTAACCATGAATGAGCTAACAAAAGCATGGGAATGTGTTCCACGAAGTGGTATTCCAAATATTTTTCCAGCTGCACAATTGCTAACATTTCAAAATAATATATATATATATATATATATATATATATATATATATATATATATATATATATATAAGCTACATTTCTACATTGTTATTTGTAGCAATATCTTAATGCCACTATACCACCATATGGGCCCTACATATAAAAGAAACAAGAACTTTTGCAAAAAAAAAAAAGGAGGGGTAAAATGGCCATCCCATTTGATTAGAAGGTCACGAATCCGATTTTGAAGATTCATAACTGGATGCATAAGGGTTAAAAGTGATGTTAGTTTAAAGAACAAATGACATATTAAGTAAGCACATGGAAAAACAACAATCACCTAAAAGGGATCATTAGGTTGCACTCCAACAATCTTCACTCGTTTAATACATTTCTAATGCTTGTTCTAAGTATCAATTATTGATGTAACCTGTTATCAATGAGCCCAATTAGATAACTTCCCTCTTATGCTTTTCATCAAACATCTTCTCTGCAACATCTATCTGGCCAAACATTATGAATCCAATGTCTAAAATTACCCTCTTAAGTGAAGTTGCCCTCATAGTGATAAAGAATTCACAGATGTACAACAACTATGTCTTCTGAAAGATTAAAAGCTACATATAATATTATACTTAATTAAAAGGACAAAAGAATTCAAGAAAAGTATGTATGAATGAATACCTTCAAATTACCTCAATGGAAAAGGGAAAGCTTCATATAATTAGAGGTTGATATACAAGAACTTAGGGTTCACCAAATAAAATAGTAGGTATAAGTGTAGAAGAAGGAACTGAAGTTGGAATCGAGTTTTGGTATAGAAATCGATGGCAAGGAGTTGTTATGAGAAGGGAAACAAGAGTTATCAGCTTACATGGATGATAACCATGGCAGATCGAAAAGGGAAGTTGTTCTCCTTCATTCTCATTATGAGTACCTCAATTAAGCGTTGATGGAAGAGGAGTAACAATGGAGACCATCATTTCAACGGTATCAAATTAGAACAATCCAAATAAAGTCAGTTATCCCGACAGGCGACGCGCCCAGTTGGAGGCGACGACAGCCGACCGGAAAGATGTAAACGGGGTACAATTTTTAAATTGTTTTTTTATTTGAAGCATGGGGATGAGAAATAAAGAACTGGCAATTGTAAGATAAAAAAACATTACCTTAATCTACTTTGAAACAAGCGTATCGCGGTGCATTGAAAGCTACCCGCAGAACAGTTTCCCTGTTGAGAGAATCTCCACGTATAACCACGTGTAACCACCGAATCAATAAATTCAATCATACCGGTCGCTTCAATCGAATCCTAATATACAAGGAAAAAAATCAATAGCAAAACTGGTAGATTTTGAGACCAGTTAGACAAAACGGTGGCAATAGGGTACCAAATCGGCATTCCAAAAACACAAAATTGGCGACCCAAACACCAAAATTGGCAATCCTAATCACATATTAGACCAATTCCGATCTCTAAAAACATGTTCCAGCAATCAATTTTGCCATTTAGTGGGATCGTAGAGTTTCCGTACCAAAGTACGTTTCCACCAACGATCGGAACGATAACGTACCGTTATTGGGAACGAAACGTTCAGAACATGGATCATGGCTGATAGAGTGATCCCTGTGACTATGATATTAACGCATATTGAAGTTATAATTCATCAAGGGAAAAGAAGTTAGGGTTTGGGGGAAGAAAAGAAGAAGAAGCTCATTACCTCAATAATTGAAGAACTGAAGCGGGTCAAAACATAGATTTCCGATGATTCCCATCGTTATCTCTAATTGTTCTTATCTAAGCAGTCTGAAATCAAGATGTAAACATAAGTATCAAAGATACGGATTTCACCCCTTTAAACCTAATTTTTGATACCAAGAACAAAAAGGGTGGATTTGATTCCTTGTTGCTAAGGATTTACGCATGTACGTCGACACCACCATCGAAATTGACAACGCCATCTCCGAAATTGACCGGAAAGCACCTCCGTTCATCATCACCAACGGATCCATCCCAGTCTCCCTTCTTTCCATCACTTCTCACAATAGAGAAACAAGAGGGAGAGTCGATTGCGAAGATGAAAGATAGAAAGAAGCTAGAAAAGAACAAGGCGGGTTTTCAAAATTTTGGGGATTTCGTTTCCCCTTGTCTACTAAACGCGCGTTTCAATTAAAATTATCCGTGTTTTTAATTTTTTTACATTAGATACTAATTTAAGGGCACGGAATTATGCTTGACTTAAATCATTAAATTTTTTGAAGAGATGACACTTTTTTAATGTCACTCTCTTTTGCGTAACATAAATCAATGAGTGTCGTGGTTTGCACGTCGTAAAAGGGTCTTTTTCTTGTACTGGACCCCGAACCTACTGAACTCTCAACCATGTTCAGTAGTCTTGGGTCTCTTCCCGAGACCTTCCACCATATGCACCTGATTTGATCCCTTCTTCCCAAAATGTTCCCAATTGGTCATCTGCTCCCGACTCTAGAAATCCGATCATTTAGGCACCCTGAAATACTTACAAACTCCCTAATATCATCCCGCATCATAACCCGATATCTCACCATCTTCATTTCCTCATATACTGCATACTACGGTACCAACAAAACCCTCTCCCGAAACTTGGTGTGATCTTTGCCACTGTCTTAGTAGTCTAGTGGAGATCCAAAAACTCTCATGCCAACTGATGCACCTCAAACTCCGGAGAAAACTCAGCCCGAAATTTGGTCGAATGGTCATCCCTTGATATAGCATCAATAGGATGATCATCTAACTCACTACCAACCTATTCCTACCAATCATGTGCCCTGTCCTTCAATAGGAAGGAATCATATCTTCCCTTTCGTTTCCTTAGGGAAAAAACTCGTCCTGAACGCATTAGCTATAACGGCTAACCACCTCCTACTGGCAACAGGGACCCTTTTCCCATAGAATGCAGGAGCTCCACAAGCACGGAATTCACGGAAATAATGAGTGTGGCCTCCAATGATAGCCATAACCTCAACACGGGACGCTCCCAAATGCTCATCCAAGATCTCCAAAACCTCTCCTTGACCGAACACAAAATCATAGGAGTCTTCTCCAAAACACTGCGAGTAGTCTCCGACAAGATGAATTTCCCCACATCTACTCACAAATCGGCTCAGTACCCTTACCTGAGCCTGAACTAAAACCTAAACCTCCTTCCTGGAAGCTCTTCACCAAATTAAAATACAATCATGCAAAACATCAAAACATACCTAAGAATCCTTCTCCCATAAGCTTCTCAGATTCTCTAAAACTCTCTCTGATTCAAGTATAGATCTTGTGCTTTCAGTAGTATGGGCCCATTACTACCTTCCACACCTATCCATACTTTCCTCAAGGATCATCCCGAATCCTCTAAGTCACCTTCTCATCTGATGCACTAAATCTCACTAAACAATGCGATTACATCCACTGCAGCACTCCCTGGGCTCACCTAGGTTTCTGAGCTCACTCAGCCATCAACTGCTGCAGAACTCCTCATAATGTCAGTCATCCACCTCATGAATACTATCATATTCACTTAGTAGTTGAATCCCATCATCTAGATTTCGACAAAGCACAAAGCAAGAAGTATTCATGTAATCACACTCCAATCCATAAGACTATCATATAATAACGAACCCAATCACCACCACTAATGCTAGAAATTCTGTAACATTCGGATTTTCAGGGTTATTATTGTGTATATGAATCTTTTTATTAAAGGAGAGACTCGACGAGTTGAGGATCCAACTCGCCGAGTCGAGTTGGGTTTCTTGCGCGGATTTAATGAGTGGACTCGATGAGTCAGAGGAGGGACTCGCCGAGTAGGTGCTGGGCAGAGAAACCCTAATTTCTTGGGTTTGGGACCTATTTAAAGGTCCATATGGCCTTCATTTACGGCCACTACACCCTGATAAAACATAGTGAGTAGAGAGGAAGCTTGTAGTGAAAGAAGAGGGCTAATTCATAATCCTTGGAGTGTCTTAGCAAAGGGAATGAAGGATTTCGAGTTGGGCTGTCTTGTGGGACTCAAATCTTCCATCATTTCGTTCAGAGCTGCTGTGAGAGGTAAGGATTCATGTCTATCTTCGTTTGTTCAGTAGATTTCATGATCTAGGGTTTCTTCATGCTTTATTTAGCTTGAATCTAGAGTATGCGAGGTCCCATTGTGAAATGATTTCCTAGATCTGGACCTTAAGAGGTCCAGAGAGTCCCTCCCATTCTGCTTTATGCCTTTTCCTTGGAGTTATAAGCTAGGGTTGTCATGATATGAAGGATTTCACCAAAATAAGCATAGATAGCCTTGCATGTGTACCAAGATTCGACCTTTACGTGGTTATTGGTCATAGGGAAGTCAAATCTACGGATTAGAGGAATGGATCTGACCTCAGAAGGTCAGATGAGTGTGGTCATGGGAGTAACTCATAGAGTCCATAGGGAGACTCGACGAGTCAGGTAGGGGTTGCCCTGCAATTCGTTGTTGAGTAACTCGACGAGTAGATAGGGAACTCGTCGTGCCTGAGAGGTTCAAAAGGGATTCAGAGAACCAGCATGGACTCTCCGAGTCTGGTCAAAGTTTGACCCTTGACTAGAGTTGACTTCGTTGACTTTTAGGGTTCGGTCAATGATTTGGTCTTATGAGCCATTAGAGGGGTAGAATGGTCTTTTACCCTTCTTAGAGGACTTATAGAGGAGAATTAGCCTAGCCTTTAGAAGTTGTATTAATTAGAGAAATTATTTATGTAAGTAGGCGGAGGCTAGCGTAGTATTTCAGAGTACGAGGTTTACCGAATATCCGAGGTGAGTCTTCTCACTATACTTTACCTTGAGTGTAATTAGAGTTATGTGATAGAGTTATTGTATGCTATTTATGTGATGTGTTACACTACATTATTTCTGTGTGATTTATGTCGTGTGTATATCAAAGTTAGAACCGGAAGGTTCACAGAGTTAGGACCAGAAGGTCCACAGAGTTAGGGCCCAAGGGCCCACATAATTATAGCCTCGAGTGGCTAGTATGTGTTATGTACGGTATCTTGGGGAACTCACTAAGCTTCGTGCTTACCGTGTTATGTGTTATATGTTTCAGGTTTCTCTCAGGATCACGGGACAAAACCGGCTTGATTGTACACACCAGAGGAAGAG